AACGAAACATTCTTTATAAGGGTGTGGAAACCTCTTCCTAGCAACGCGTTTTAAAAACCTTGAGAGGAAGCCCGAAACGAAAAATTGAGAGAACAATTATCTTTATTATCAAAGCTTGGCTGTTTTGAAAATAGTACCATGGAATTTGATAACATATCCATATCAACATCATTCTGTGTTCTCCGTTTTTAGTGATTGCAGGAAGATCAATTCAAGGTAGATCTTTCGGAAGTTGTTGAAGAAACTAGCTTTTTCAAGATGTTCGTTCGATCTCGAGATCTAGTTTTGTAAGATTTTCTCTTTTTCTTTACCTCCATGAGACCTTGCCTTATTTGGTAGTGGAGGGTGGAATCAATACAATTCGTACTAGTAGTAGTGAGACGTTGCCCTCATTGGGTTGGAATAGTAGGTCTCCGGAGCCTTGTTCTCCATGGTCATTCTTACCGTCAATGCCTTTGTCACTATCAATCAAATCTACATGGACTTTTTGAACCAAAGTTAAGGTCACTAATAAATCTACATATTTAAGTAAACGGAAGTTTTTACGAAAGGAATTCTCTCCCGTACTTTTTTGTTTCTGGTCTAGGTCACACCCACCCTAGGGTTATTGGATACAAATCTGTCATTTTATCCCCAAAATATGTGGCTTACATTTGAGAGGTGGGAAGTTGTCAAAATCTTCATATCTTGACTTTGAACCACTAGAGTCAAAGTAAGATAGAAGTTGAAGATAAGGTTCAAACAAACCACAAAATTCTCATTTGACTGGGTTTAGAGCAAAATGTGGACGCAACAATTATTCGGTTGTATCGTATGTTCACTATTTGCCACAATTGCACTCTTGCAGTACTGGAATAGTAATTGTACGACACTTGTTCTAATCGAGCAAATAAGTCAGTCGTGAGAAATTCGAATTTTGCAGACAATGTTACCATATGCTCGTGCCTCGAATCACGTTTGCAAGAAATGTTTTAGAAAACATGAGCAAAAAAAAACATTTGAAAGAAAGCAATGTTGTATGACTATAAGCAAAGAAAGAAACCGTCATTTAAATAGTATAATAATTCAATGTGAATATCTTTAAAAAAAATGAAAAAAAATATAAGCCGACGCATAATTCTCTAAGTCATGCTCAATGATGATTTTTCCTAGATTTCATTAGGAATGATAAACCTCTTACATATTCATACAAGATCGGAATAGGTGGGTCGAGGTCTTACGAGGTACCCACTACTCGTTAGTACCCTCCCAAAAGGAAAAAGGGTTTGGATGATTAAAAGGTAATGGCATCTTTTGGCTCAATGTGCTCGTTGGAAAAGCTTGAACTCTAAACCCAAAACTATTGTCAGCCGTCCTTGATTTTCCTTGATACGTGGTTGATTTAAATGGACTCCATTCCCCATTGTTGTGCTTTGTCGTCCAAAAAGTTAAGCAAATCTTAATGGTCTCGAGCCACGCTAGTGAAGCCTAATTTGTATGAATGATTGATGAATCAATTGTTTTGAAAGCTATATGAGATTTCATTGTAAGTTAACTTGTATAGATCTATATGAGTATCAGTAGTTGGTAGACATAGGTCGCTCCCCTTTTTATTATGATTATTGTACAATACAGAGACTATTAACGCTAACTAATTTCTAGTTGTGAAATGTCTATCTTGATAGGGTACTTATACGTACATACGAAAGTAGGTAGCTACAGAGTCACACCCTATGTGATATTAACCCACACAAGGTCACTCCTTGTGTATATGATGTGATTCTACTATGGTCATGTCCTACATGATAATATATGAGTCCAATCGTTGTAGTACAAGATTCCACTAGAGTTGTTCCCTAACGATATGAGCTCATACTTGAGGTCACTCCTTTCACGTATAATATATGATTCTAATAGAATTGTGTCTTATACAATGTACAAAATTCTACTAGGATCATGTTCTAACGATATGAGCTTGCATACGAGGACACTCTTTGAATGTATATGATGTGATTCTACTAAGGTCATGTATGACATGATACGAGCACAGATGGGGTCACTCCCTCTATATGTACCAAATTCTATTAGGTTGGGTAGTCCGTACTAGTCAAGTTATAGAGCCATATGAACGCCCCTAGCGGGTAGAGAATGGGAGATGGAACGAATAAAGATTTCTCTCCGTTAACTAAATAGGTTACGGGATGAGGACTGGATTCTCTGTCTCCCTCCTCATCTCGCCCCGCCCCGCCCCGCCCATTTTTACATATAAATATAAATTTATTTATTTATGTGAAAATTAAAATTTTAAATTGAAAAGATATGACTATTCAAGTAGGAGATTAAACATGGAATTGATGCACCATACCACGAATAGGTACAATCCATGTATTAAAACAATAAATATGACAAACTTTCTTTTATTAGAGAACTTAAAAGATTTTAATAATGAGTTGAAGGAACTATGTTGTGGGTAAAATTATTATTGGAATTGTGCCATGAGATAAATGAGAACAAAACATTTTTGATGGTATACAATCGTTGCATCTCCAAATTGAACTACGTTTGGTTTGTGCTTACTAAACAAATGTTCTAACCAACTGAACTATGAGAGCTACTTACATATTTATACGAACGAGAAAAATATGTAAAATACTAATTTATCTTTACGAGATAAACCCAAATCAAATAAAGCCTAACCTAATCCAACATTATAAGAGTTTAATAAAACAAAAATTCTAAAATATATCAAGTTCGAGATTTCATAATAAAAATATTGAATATTTAAATTGTTAATTAATTATAAATTTGGACGTCTAAACGTAATCAAAAGTTTCTAAAATCTTTCACATGACATAAATTTATTATTGTCCCGTAGTCTCGAAACTTCGGTATGAAATCGCCTCCTGCCATAGCAATTTTTATATTATCATAAAAGAAAAAGCAGCAAAAATATACTCGGTAAGTAGCTTTACTTGCATGAATTTAAAAATTCATGGGAGAGCCACTACTGTTAAGTTATGGAACTTGTGCTTATTTATCGCTTATACATAGTAAAACTATATTTGTTAAATGAATATAAAGTAAATTTTAGTAAATAGCTAAGTAAAAAGTTATATGGGTAAAACTATGGTAAATAGTTATATATAATAGATGGTTATAGCTAAATATAGCAAGCTAAACTATATATATTCCCTCGAGCAGAGCTTTGAAAATGTATTCTTTATCTGTATTCTCTCTTACGGAACATACTTGAAGTCATCAATATAAATCTTTTAGCCAAAGTTCTCCTTGCATTTTCTCTATCATGTTCTTTGTGTTCATCTAGATCGAGTGTGTGCGTTGTTGTGCGATCCTAACAACTACCATTTGTAATTCCTATCAGGTAGGAATTAGCTCTTAACTCTTAGAAGTAAAAAGTAAGTAAGGTGACTATGAGTGAACCGAGATTACATCCGAATGAGAGCAATCTTAATAATAGAATGACTAAGAAAGATTTTAAAAAATTGAAAGTTTCTATCTATACCATTACGTAAACAAAATAGTCATATCACAAAGGATGAAAGGGAATGTCGGGGCTATCGTATATCAAATTTTGATCTGAATCTTAAGTATAGGTCGTTACAGTTAAATTCTTAACGTGTAAAATAAGAGTGATTTTTTATTTTTGGGTTGTTCTATCAAACAAGTGGTTGTCCAATCCAAACATCAAATCCAAACATCATGCTTGGTCTGATGTTGCTTATGAATGAATTTGAGTTCAATTTTTCCTCTATAAGCTTCGTGAGCCATTATCGTCCACACTTGCCACATGGTGTGTAACAACATCAATGCAATGACATTAGTGTCCAATCTTGTTTTTCATGCTCACATGAACTATATTGAAATCAACGTCGATTTTATTTGGAATTAGGTGCTTCGATATCAGCTCGATATTTAGCTAGATCAGATTATCATATTCAGCTCGATGTTGATGCTCTGTCTAGCAGTTGATACTCTGTATCTTCAAGGAGAATTCAATTTCACCATTTCTATGTTGGAGACAGTGGGGCAGACGTTAAACCTTTATGGAATTTAAATAAAAGAATTAACAAGGAAAATCTAGGTTAATCATATACTACTATAAACTCATTGATTATAACCTATTATTTATACTCAAAACTCTTGCTTTGTTCGTGAAACATACAAACAAACAAGTAATACACAAGATTTCAATTTATCATTAATCCCAACCTAATTTTTCCTACTACGAGTCTATTATATCCAAAATACCCTAGTAATTGATATTCTTGTTTCTCTTAAGATCGGCACACATTCTAATCTTCTCAATATTAAAACGTGCTACGACGTCCCATAAGTTGGTCAAACATATCGAAGAAATAGATGAGTAAATAATCGAGAGGACAATTAATAACCAAACAATGTCTTTACTACTCGACGAGAAGAGGACAGGAACAAAGCAGTGAGACCAATAGAATAGATGAAGGCAATGAAATTGTTTTATGAGTTGACAAGGGGAAGGAGCAAAGCCAAGATGGCTAGGTAAACAAGCAACCTGTAATGTAGGTCCCGACTCCAAGTTCTTTCTCTTCTTTCTTTTCTCGAGTCTGAAGAGCACACCCAACGACGACAACTCTTGCTTAAATCATTACTTTGAATTCTCCATTGTTTTGTAATCTTTTTTAAAAATTTTGATGAGATTCGATTCCCCAGATACTCAAATTGTCTCGATTTTCAATACAAAATATAACGTCGGGCATAGTTGTCTCGTCCCTGACTAGCTTGCTTCCCTGGCGTGGCTGGTTTTTTAGGGCTTGTCACCTTCACCATCAGTTGTCACCTTCACCGTTGCAATTGTCTATTGTCTGTTACCCTTTGATTTATACACAATATCGACCAAACACCGAATTTCTTTTCTATTTCTACTTTTGTGATTGGACTGTTGCTGAAACATCATCACCACTCAAAGTACTTTAACTTCTCTCCCAATCCCTTCCCCTATTTAAGTCCTTCCATCTCTCATCTTTCTCTCTCTCTCTCAATAATTTCTTCAAATTCATACCATGGGAAACAATGGAGAACTGCGGCTGCCATTTGAGGGTAAGTCTTTTATGCTTATAACCCTACATAAATGCTTCCCAAAACCTTAAAAAAACAGCAAACTTTTGTAAGTTCCACCTGAATATTCCTAGTTTTCGTATGATAGGGATCAAATTATTGACAATTTGATACGGTAATGAGTTATGTTCGAATTAACGGTGTTCTTGTTTGATGTTTTGCTCCTATGTGCTCAAATTGACGATGTTCTTATTTGATGTTTTGCTCCTGTGTGCTCAAATTGACGGTGTTCTTGTCTGATGTTTTGCTCCTGTGTGAGAAATTGACGGTGTTCTTGTTTGATGTTTTGCTCCTATGTGCTCGTATTGACGGTATTCTTGTCTGATGTTTTTCTCCTGTATGTTCAAATTGACAGTATTCTTGTATGATGTTTTGCTCCTATGTGCTCGTATTGACAATGTTCTTGTTTGATGTTTTTCTCCTGTGTGCTCAAATTGACAGTGTTCTTGTCTGATGTTTTGCTCCTATGTGCTCATATTGACGGTATTCTTGTTTGAGGTTTTGCTCATGTGTGCTCGTATTGACGGTATTCTTATCTGATGTTTTGCTCCTGTGTGCTCGTATTGACGATGTTCTTATCTGATGATTTGCTCCTGTGTGCTCAAATTGATGGTGTTCTTGTTTGATGTTTTGCTTCTGTGTGCTCATATTGACGGTGTTCTTGTCTGATGTTTTGCTCCTATGTTCTTGGAACAAAAGACGAGAAAACGATGAACGTGAACCCAACAAACGACACAAGCTCGATGAACCTTGACCAACCTAGAAGAAGCCTACAAACCAAACCAAATTACAAAAGATGGCTAAGAATTGGTGTATACACTTTCTTGCTCCTCTCAGGTCAATCAGTTGGAACTATGCTTGGGAGGCTTTACTTTGATAAGGGTGGCAAAAGCAAATGGTTGGCAACTCTTGTTTCATTGATAGGCTTTCCCATTCTCCTCCCACTCTACATGATAAAATCACCTAAAATTTCATCCTCAAATATCACCCTCCAATCAAATCCACCCACAACTACAAAACTTATCTTTGTCTATGTCTCTCTTGGCCTTCTTGTTGCCATTAATTGCTTTCTTTACTCTGTGGGCCTCATGTACCTTCATGTCTCAACCTTTTCTCTCATTTGTGCCTCACAATTGGCCTTCAATGCCTTATTTTCTTATTTCATTAACTCCCTTGTCTTCACTCCTTTCATTGTCAATTCTCTTGTTCTTCTTACCATCTCCTCCTCTCTCCTCGTCTTTCAATCCGATCCGGTCTCCGACACTAGCTCCGACGGCCCCGGACACCCAACTTCTCGAGCTAAGTTTATCACGGGTAAGGTCTTAAATATCAATGAAAACGTCTTGAACTTTATGATGTTCCTACTAGTTAGGCGGTGTAATATTAGTTTAATAGCCCAAGTCCACTGCTAGCAGATATTGTCTTCTCTGGGCTCTACCTTTCGGACTTCCCCTTAATGTTTTTAATACGCGCTCTACTAGGGAGAGATTTTCACATCCTTATAAAGGGTGTTTCGTTCTCCTCCCCAACCGATGTGGGATCTAACAATCTACTCCCCTTCTGGGCCAGCGTCCTCACTGACACTCGTTCCTTTCTCCAATTGATGTAGGACCCCCACCAAATCCACCTCCCTTCAAGATTTAGCGTCCTTACTAGCGCCTCGTATCTACCTCCTTCAAGGAACAACCTCCTCACTAGCACATCGCTCGGTGTCTAGTTCTGATACCATTTATAACGGTCCAAGCCTACTGCTAGCAGATATTGTCCTCTTTGTGGCTTTATTGTTAGATCCCACATCGATTGGGGAGGAGAACGAAACCCCATTTATAAGGGTGTGAAAACTTCTCCGTAGTAGACGTGTTTTAAAAACCTTGAGGGGAAGCCCGAAAGGGAAATCCCAAAGAGGACAATATCTGCCAACAGTAGGCTTATAGGTGTTTCAAAGTGAAACGTGTCTGCTAGGGAGAGGTTTCCACACCCTTATAAAGGGTGTTTCGTTCTTCTTCCCAACCGACGTGGGATCTAACAATTCACCCCTTTTAGGGGCCAGCGTCCTCGCTGGCACTCGTTCCTTTCTCCAATCGATGTAGGACCCTATCAAATCTACTCCCTTCGCGACCCAGCATCCTTACTGGCACACCACCTCATGTCTACCCCCTCTAGGGAACAGCCTTCTCCCTCGTACATCGCTTAGTGTCTGGCTCTAATATCATTTGTAACGACCCAAGCCCACCGCTAGCAAATATTGTTCTCTTTGAGTTTTATTGTTAGATCCCACATCAGTTGGGGAGGAGAACGAAACGCCCTTTATAATGATGGTGGAAACCTCTTCCTAGCAAACGCGTTTTAAAAACCTTGAAGTGAAGCCCGCAACGGGAAGCCCAAATAGAACAATACCTACTGGCTAGTGAGCTTGAGCCATTACCATTAGAACAAATTAAAATTTCTTATTACAAATATATATATACATTCGTGATGGGTTGATAACCTTTTTTCTTTTATATCAACGTTAAACTCAAAGAGACATAGAAATGTTAACATCTCGTTTAAAATTTGATGTTCGAGTTACAGGTTTCGTGCACGGTAGCGGCCTCAGCCGGGTATGGCCTAGTGCTATCCCTAACCCAACTAGCCTTCAAGAAAGTCATAAAAAAGGAGACTTTCAAGGCAGTATTGGACATGATCATCTACCTATCAATTGTTTCAAGTTCAGCCATTTTGATAGGCTTCTTTGCAAGTGGGGAGTGGAAAACTTTGAAAATGGAAATAGATGGGTTCCATTTGGGCAAAGTTTCATACAAAATGACATTGTTTTGGACAGCCATAAGCTGGCAACTGTTCTCCGTTGGCTCTGTGGGTCTCATTTTTGACGTCTCTTCTCTCTTTTCCAATGCCATTGGTGCTTTGGGTTTGCCCATTGTTCCTGTTTTTGCAGTCATTTTCTTCCATGACAAAATGGATGGCATCAAAATTGTGGCCATGATTTTGGCTGTGTGGGGTTTTGTTTCTTATGGCTATCAAAATTATCTCGATGATTTGAAGAGCTCCTCAAAGGTCAAAAATCGAGACTCGAACGACGTTTCGAGATCTTCTTCTTTGCCCTAAGAGAGATATGGATGAACACGATATGGTGTCACAACGAGATTGGTGTATATCTATTCATACTCGATAGTAATCATTTTGGTGTAATATCTCTTTTGTTCCATCTATATTACTATTGTGCTCTTTATTGAAATTTAAAATTAAAATTGGATTGTCGAGAAAAAAGGGTTTGTATAGTTCTGTTCGTCTGGTTTTAGCTTAAACCGACAATGAAATCGAACCATTCACTTATAAAAGATTATAAACCAAAAGAATCATAAGTTTCCATTGGTTTCGGTTTAAAACCAAACCAACTATATTTTGTTCTCATTGGTTCGGTTTAGTTTCAAACCAAATTTCTCTTTTTTGTGCCGGTAAGATAGAGAGAGGTGAACCAAGGTGCTAAACCACAATTATTTTGACGTACAAGTCAATAATCGAGATGATAATATGTGTTAGTGACTATTTTGGATATTCCCATCCATCTACTAATGTGTTATACTTATAGAGACGTTTAGGAACCATCGTCATAATGGCCAGCAATAATTTCATTGTAATTCTTGTCAACCATCAATTGGTCTCCTATTCGATTAAACTTCTTCTCAAATGGTGCTCGACTTATTGGAGATAAGACTCAAGTCATTTTCTTCTCAACCATCAATTGACCTCAAGAAGGCTCGACCTCAAGGTCTACTTTTGTCGACACTCGTAGTGGTATTGTGAGTAAAATACCTAGAAACTTCAAGACACTGATCTAAAGGTCCCACTACAGCTGCATGGTGTCACGGTCCTAACTTCTTGACTGTGAGGCGTCGTGATCTATACACGCTCACGACTAGCCTTAAGGGAAATTAAGCCCCATATGCATTTTTCGCCCCGGCTTTGTGGCTTCGTCGAACCTTAGGTGAGGTTTGTCTTCGCCAATCGAACATCGCTTGTGCGGAATCCAAGCTTGTTCAACCACATACGTCGCCTGTGCGTGTATGTTCAATCGTCTGCGACACATCCGACTTGCCTCTACGCTAGGCCAACTCATTCGGCTCAACCTTGTCTCTACTCGGGCCAAGGTCTCTCAATATAACGTCGCATCTCATCTTGTCATCTCGATCCCCATCGATAGGGTCCATATGTCTTGACGCCATCCCGAGTCTCGGGATGTCGTCGGCCATCATAACTCACTCGGTCATGCCATCGAGAATGGGCCCGCACGTCGTCCATCTCATCGGGACTTTCGGAACATCCATCCATCCGGGTTCTATCGAGGCATAGGCCCTCTCGTGCCCATGCCGAGTCATTTACGGATACCGTCTTGGATAGCTGGTGTATGTAGCAACCTCCAACACCCGGGCTAGGGCGCAATATCGGCACACCCGTGTCGTCCGGTACTGTCCTTCAAAAACTCATTTCAAAGGAAGTCGCTCGAGACACTCGTCTCGGCACGCTCGCCCACACTGTGACACACGTATGTGCCATAGGGTAGCTCACTTAGGCCACAGGGCCCAGGGGTGGTTTGCTAACACCATGATACCCCCTATAATACATTTTGAGCCATTTTCATTCTACCAGGTGTAGACATGATTTTGGTGAGGTGTCAGTGTCGTGCATTGTCCGTCCAAAGTTCGATTGACACCAAACTTGGCGAGCATTCATATTTCATATGGATGGACTTAACTCCCGAACCGCATGCCCAAATTCCTTCTGAGACCCCAACTTTTGAGGTTAAGGCCCGAGGTCCAACCAGGCCCTTCAACAAGCCTATCTTGTCCTTCATGTCTATGCTGATGTCTCTGTTATGCTTATGTCTCAACATGTCTTCAATGCCCACTTTGCGTGGTGGTGTGTTGGATGATGCATCGTCCTCCTCGATCGCATCATGGCATTCTTCTATGTTGGTCCACATATGGTTGGATGGGGCATCTCTTGAGGGACGACCCTTTGCTTGTCATGGCGTGAGGGTCACAACCTACTTTCTTCATACTATGGTTGTAACATTCTCCTCCACTTAACTTAGTCATCGTCCTCGATGACTTACTCGAGTCACAATCATATTGCAGATTGTGATACATGGCTCCCGTCCTGCTAACAACTTTTACTTCATGAGCCTTTTGAAAATAAAAAATAGCAAGGATGAGTATAAAAAAATAACCAATAAGCTGTTAAGACCGCACAACAACAGGCATACTTGATTTAGATGAATACAGAACTTGAGAGAGAAAATTAACGGGAGATTTATACATTAATAAAGAATACATATAATGCTGAAAATACATTTTCAAATCATAATCTAAGAGTGCACAGATGGTTCTGTGCACAGATCATTTGTGATATATAATCTTATTATTATCATAAACAACAATTCTAAATATTCATTCTGTCAACTAAGAACAGATTAATATACAGGCTCCTACCTTGAATAATATGCAGAATATTATGCAGATCAATCATCAAGGAATATGAAAGAACAAATTTTGTGAATTTTCGTCATCCACATAGGAAGATATTCAAACCCTATTAAAGTAGGTTGTGGAACGCTTAACAATAACTATTATCGGTTCTTATTATAGAGAAATTATACGAAGAAGTCGTTGTAATAAGACTTGACAGTTTTACGAAGTAAGATGCACAGATGAAACTCGAGACAAATCGATCTGAAGAACTACGGTTCAGAAATTCTCCAACAAAGCGACATCAGGTTTGATCTCATCGTTGTCTAGTACTACTACTAAACTGATCTCTAGCTTTTAGTTGGTGAAGATGATTGATGGTGTTCAAACATTTCAAGAAAACTCTGTACTGAAAATGCAATGCACTGCTAAGTTCTTGACCTAAATCGACTCGAGAAACTTAAAAAAACGTCCTCGGTTTAAACCCATTTCAGTGGAACCTGCATGAAGAATAACAAAACACGAAAATGCTCGAGCAGCGAGGCAAAGAAACGATGCTTCCATGGATCTACAAGTACAAAATGTTACATCTCAACGAAACGGCGAAATCATCGGTTAGCTCGGGATATCCACTTATTATATTGACATTTGATTAAAGCAACGTACAAGGGAAGTATATACACATGTTTACAACATCATAGAAAATCATGGAAGCAACAAAACCTTACGGATTTTTCGATACCACTCATCGAGCACGTTTCACAACAGTTTCAATCATATCTACATAACAATCAAAAAAAATCTTTCACAACGTCAATCGCCAGTTCTGGCACATTTGATGTAAACTTGCATCCCAAAAGCATCTATATAAGGCTACCCCTCGATGGTTCCTACAATTGAGAGATATCAACAATTTTCATGAGACCCTTTTTGAGTATGAAACTAATGTAAATGAAGTAGAGTAAATAAATAGTTCTACGACGTTCCGATGAACGGAATACAAACCGAAGAATTCATTGTCAAAGTCCAATGCTGAGGACGACGAACGGCTGCAGAATCGTCATGAACGAAGGTTATTGTCCCTACTCGTTCTTGGGCACTAGCTGCTATCCATGGTGGTAATTCTCTCATGATCCATAGAACAAATGCTGAAGGAATTGATGATCCTGGCATAATAATCTGCTTCATATCAAAATTCAAAGAAATATGTGTAAACCCGAAAAGCGGGTTCCTCAGGAGGCAGAGGGTTATGATCCGATGAACATAACGAGCTCCCGGTCGATGGGAGTCTAGTTGCAAGGATATGAGGCTTTCTTTTCCAGATAAAAGACGTTTGAAGAGAGCGAAGGAAATGAACCAAGACAGGTACTGAAGTAGGTAGGTGACTCAAGCGATTCCAAGAAGCAAACGGTTCAAGATGAAAAGGGAAATTTAAGAAGCTAACTAGAACTTAAAGACAGATCCAAATTCATGTAACAAGCAAAATGGAACAAGTTCAAGAACTGATACCTATAAAGTAATATGTAATCAGCAAAGTCGAAGTATATGCACCATAAATGCGATATTGTTGTCGCCACTGATTTGGTACCTGCAACGAGAACGAGTGTATTCATTGCCTTATGAACTGATCAAGAACACCCGTTTCTTTTTCTAAAGAAAACACGAGTTTATTGGTTCGATCAAGTGTATACCGGTATGTTCGTTAGAAAAGCTACCAGTGCACTTGAAGTGAAACATACGACCGACATGGCAGCCAAACCCGCAACCTGGAACGCAACAGAATAGTTTCAAGCAATAAGATGAATCCAGGCAGAAGTGAATGAATCATGAAAAATAGAAAGTCTGCTACCTTTAATATTTCAGAGGATGCTCTCTCAGATCTAACCCTTCTCATTTTCAAGAATAACAGCAGTCCTGAACGTCGAAAAAAACGCTCAGAAGGGAAAAGAAAAAGTTCTGCTACTCGGAATTCTGTGAGTTTTTGAAGCATTATCTTTTGTTTACTTAATCAATCAAAATCTCCCAGAAAGCTGTGATTATTTTTTGGTGGCTACTGCAACTTGTGTTGGGTTTTTGTATGGCTTATTTGTACTTTCGTTATGAAAACGGTTCTTTTAGAGAAAGCTACCCAAAAGCAGAAAGCTATTGGATAGAGTATTTTTGTGAGATCCCACATCGATTGGGGAGGAGAATGAAGCATTTTTTATAAGGGTGTGAAAACCTCTCCCTAGCAGACGCATTTTAACAACCTTGAGAGAAAGTCTGAAAGGGAAAATCCAAAGAGGACAATATCTGCTAGAGGTGGGCTTGGGCTGTTACAAATGGTATCAGAGTCAGACACCGAGTTGTGTGCAAGCGAGAACGCGAGCCTGAATGGGAGTGGACATTGGGCAGTGTGCCAACGAGAACATTGGGCCCTGAAGAGGGGTGGATTGTGAGATCCCACATCGATTAGAGAGGGGAACGACAACGATTGGAGAGGGGACGAATGCTAGCAAGGACACTAGGCTCCGAAGGGGGTGGATTGTGAGAACCTACATCAGTTGGAAAGGAGAACGAAACATTCTTTATAAGGGTGTGGAAACCTCTCCCTAACAAACACGTTTTAAAAACTTTAATGGGGAAGCCTGAAAGAGAAAACCCAAAGAGGATAATATCTACTAGTGGTGGGCTTGAGCTGTTACAAATGGTATCAAAGCCAGACACTGGGCAGTGTACCAACGAGGACGCTAAGCCCTAAAGAGGGTGGATACTGGGCAGT